AGAGACATAATAGGGCTAATTTGGTAAGTAGGACCTACAATCATATATTCATCATCTTTATTCTTAAACTCTAGTAAAAATTGTAATTAAAATTGTGAAATTTTATGTCCCATTTAATATTTAAGGTCATATTTTACACTTTTTAGGTCATATTTGACATAATTTTGGGTCATAAGTGCATGCATATATTTATATAGTTTTTAGGTCATAAAAATCTGTGCCCTAATAATGAGTAATACAACAACATGGTGCATTTTAGTGTTCTGAAAGATCAGAATTATTAACATCAGCAGTGGTAGCAGTAATAGGAAGGGTCAGGGAATTAGTTTTACTTGGGGCCAGATAATGCTATGCCAAAATGACCACGGACCATACAGTCTAATCAGAAAACATCTGCATTTCAAACATCAATCTAAACACACTTAGCAGGTACATCATAAGACATGAAGATAACATTACTTATTTATGGTTATGATTAACACTGCTCTCAGTGGATCAGACTATATAGCATCAGCAGTGATGAATTGGAAACAAAAAGTGGCTGTGACCCAATTAGAGATACTATTCTGGCATTATGACTGAAGGAATGGGAAGACTGTGAAAAACTTAAGTTAGGATAGCTGGTGTCCTAGCCAAAGTACCTCCTGAACAGAACCAGAAATGCCACCATCAGAGCCAACTTGGTCAGTGGTAACACTGTTCCTGTTTAATATGACAAGGGGAAATGTTTCAAATAAAAGTTGAAGGTCTTGATGAGATCAACATTTTATGTTATGTAACAGTCTCACATGATGAGATGACTCCAAGAAAAATTTACATAAAGTGTTGCTCTGCTTGTCAGCTGCTTCATGCTAGTTTCTTGCATGACATGCTCTTTGACTCTGACAGCAGAGGCGATATGTTTCCCTGAAACATTTGCCTTCTCTGAACTACATGGAGTTACAACCCAGGAAACCACACACTTTACATAAAGTTATATTTGAGCTTCATGTGAAGTAGGTATTATACTGGACTGATTGAAATCAAAATAGAATCTGCTTGGCAAGTTTTAGTATAATCATCAATATTTAATTTCCTGCAAAACTGTTCAATAATTTTATGGCTGGAACATACAAATAAGTGGAGAGGTGTGACTTTCACATTAATGTTCATCTCATGCTCTTTGTCTGAAGGCTAATGAGAGCAATCTATTACCTGTATTGTACACTTAGCGAACTCTAATCCAGCAATGTCATCCCATGTCACTGCAGATCTATTATCCATGATTTCACTCCTTATTAGCTCCACCATTTTGGGATCAATATTTCTCAGCCTCTCGTCAACCTCTGTCTCGTTTTGTTCCCATTCCTTCTGCCTCTGGTTTCCTCCAAAAGCAGCTTCAAAACCACTGCCAAGAGACCATAACACAAACTCTCATTAAAACAGCACACAGGTCACAAAGACAACTGCGAAGATATTGTCAACCAGACAAAGGAGGCCCCCAGTAAAGCTACGTGAAGATTTTTTTATGGATAAGCATAGTTCTGGTATCCTCAAGAATAATAATAATAAAGTCAATGCAAACATTCAGATATTCCATCAAAATGTGCAAAGTCTAAATAATAAAAAGCTAAATATGGCTCTGCTACTAACAGATAAAGCCCTAGAGTTGGACATACTATGTATCACTGAACATTGGTTAGAGGAAAAAGAAATAGGTTATTATAATTTTGAAAACTATTCCCTTATATCAGAATTCTGTAGGGAAAATAAGCGGTATGGAGGCTTATGTATCTATGTCAAAACAAATTTTGAAGCAAAGCTTTATAACTTGTTTGAAAACTTGAATCAAGAAGAACATATTGAACCTAGTATAATCAAACTAATCCAGTTTAATACAATTATTATCTGTGTATATAGAACTCCAACAGTAATATTAATATATTTATTGAAACCATGGACACAATAATTAGTAACTTAATAAACAAAGGGAAGAGCATCATTATCATAGGAGATCTCAACATAGATTTCCTAGGAAGAAAGTAAATCTACAACTACAATGTTAAACTCATATGGCTAGCAAACAATAGTTGATGTCCCAACGAGAACAGGACCTAGAAGTCAAACAGCAATAGATCAAATAATATTAACAAGGGCTTAAGGGGATATGATCTTAAGGTGATTGAAACAGGATTTTCTCACCATAAAGCATAGATACTACAAATACATATGCAGTATAAGAATAAAAAGGGGCAAATTAGACTAAAGGAAGAATTCAGAATAGCTAGATCTTACAGGGAAGAGAATGTACAATACCTAAACTATCTACTAGAAAAAGAGACTTGGGAGCTTGTTTTTAAGCAAAATTCAGCGAACGAGGCATACAATGAATTTTTAGGTACTTTACAGTATTATTATGATATAGCTATGCCTAAAAAATGGGTAAAAAGTAAACAGCAGGAAAATAAATGGGTTACCTCAGGAATAAGGGTATCAGGGAACAGACTCAGGTTTCTTGATAGTCTAATGAAAGAAGGAAACACAGCCAGAAGAATTTAAAGAATACTATTGTCATTACAAAAAAATATACAACAAAGTTATCAGTGAAGCAAAAAAATTAACTAATAACATGCGAATAAGAGCATCAGGGAATAAATCAAAAGCCATGTGGGACCTAGTTAAGGAGGAACTAGGTAAACAGAAAAAAGCAACGAAGACTATTGAAATAAGCGAGAATCGAGTAAATATACAGGATCCAAAAGCTATAGCCAATGTCTTTAATGAATACTATACTAGTATTGCCCAAAAGGTATTGAGTGGCAATCCATTATCCGAAAACAATGAAGTTAATGTCAACAGAGTAAAATATAACAGTAACAGCATGTTTTTAACCCCAACTACTGAAGAGGAAGTAGCAGGCATAATTAAAGGATTGAGTAATAAAAAATCAATGGGAATAGATGATATTTCAGAGTATATTATTAAAAAATGTTATCCTAAAATAATAAATGCTTTGACATATATAATAAATCTGTCACTCACAACTGAACATTTTCCTGATCAACTAAAAATTGCAAAAGTGAAACCTTTGTATAAGAAAGGATGTGATACAGAAGTTGGGAATTATAGACCAGTTTCACTAATTTCTGTTTTTTCAAAAATAATTGAAAAAATAATACATAAAAGACTTTTATCATTCTTTTTAATAATCACAGCACAATTAAAAATAAACAGCATGGTTTCTGTAAAGGGAAATCAACAAATACTGCAACTGCAGAGTTTATAGAAAGGGTCTACAAATCATTGGATGAGAGGGAAATAAGTACAGGGATATTTCTGGATCTGTCAAAGGCATTTGACTTAGCTGATCAGGATACGAGGGTTGGAACATTAATAGTGGCAACACGGCTGTAGAGATGCCATGTAACGGAACCAAATAATGTCGCTTATACCACACATTAGTTACATACCTACTTTACCTCAGAGCATATGGACTCTCCCTCCCCACATCATGCGCATGTGCAGTGACAAGAAGAACAGAGCCTCGTGTTAGCTGGTGGTCTAATGTAGTGTTGACACAATGTTTTTGAAACAGGAACAACGGAGATGGATAAAGATTGAATGTGCCCGAGGCCATACAGCACAACAGTGTCATCAAACTCTTCAAGAGGCTTGCGGGGAATCTGCATTACCTTACAGAACAGTGGCAAGGTGGGTAAAAGCCTTCAATGAGGGACGCCAAAATGTGGCAGACATGCATCGGCCAGGTCATCCTAGTGTCAGTGAAGAGGAAGTGTATGCCCTTTCCGCGTTACTGGAGAGTGACTGACGCCATACATTTCGTGAGCGGGCCCGAGAAACAGGATTATCACATATAACTGTGCTTCACATTCTGAAGGAACACCTGGGCACGAGAAAAATTGCATCACGATGGGTTCCGCATGATTTAACGGAAATGCAGAAATGGCTATGATATGACGCTGCTCATAACCACTTGAAGCGCTATGAGCGTGAAGGAGAGGCTTTCTTATGCCGTATCATTATGCTGGATGAGACATGGGCCAAATCATACGAGCCACAAATGAAACGCCAATCAAACAAATGGCGTCATCACGGGTCACCATGAAAATCAAAAGTTCATCAGAACCCCTTATAAGCAGTCAAAAGAGTATCAGGGTTAGAGACTGTTTGCACCTTATATTATGCTTATTTTCAATCCTTGTTATTATATGGATTGATATTTTGGGGCAATTCAGGAAGTGCAAAATTGATCTTTAGGTTGCAGAAGAGAGCTATTAGAGCTATGATACAAATCCCAAAAACTATTAGTTGTAAACAATATTTTAAATTGTTACATATATTACCTTTACCATGTCTGTATATATATGAAATCTAGTTTACATAAAAACCAATTTGAATGTTTTCATAACCAATTCAGGAATACACTCACACAATACAAGGAGAAAAGATGACTTGTTCATAGTGCCATGTAATTAACACGAGTCTATACAAAAACAATTTCAATAATACTGAACTTCGTATGTTAAATCAGTTGCCACAATATATTAAAGAGATACCAGTACTATTGCACCGCGCCCTTCGTCTTCCTCTCCACTGATTACTATAAATCACCATTATTATTATATTATTATTACGAAGAGGAAGGGCACAGCACAATCGTTACTGGCTCTATTGTTGGTTCCCACGCTCCCCTAGATGGAGATGGGGTATCCAAGCTAGGAGGAGGAAGCTACACTCAGTTCAGTGGCTAAGATAAAACAAATACAATTTTAATAACAAAATATACAGTACATAAATAACAAAAGGACACTTTGACCC